CGATGCCGCCCGCCTGGTCCCGACGCCCTTTGAGGGCCGGTACCTGGACGCCTGCGACTACTACAGCCTGACCGAGCGCTACGCGGGTGAGGACCCAGCGTCCGGGCCCGGCCCCCCGCCCTGATCCCTGGCTATAAAGTCTGGCTGTAACGTCCGAAGTTACTAGATGGCAGCCTGGCTCCAGGCGTCCGACTCCCAGCCCCTCTGCTCCGAGCCACCGGCTTGCGCCCCCCTCCCAGAGGACCCAGGGGGCTGCGGGGCGGGAGTGGGGGACACCCAACTCTGACCCCTCCCCATTTGCGTCCCCCCCCCGCCATCCCAGTGCCTGATGGGAGAGGCCGGAAAGGGCGTACCAAGCGGGAGGCAGCAGCCCACACGAACCGGCCCAGCCCAGCTGGGCACGAGCGCAAGTTGGCCACCAAGCTGCAGCGATCGGAGCGGCGCCGGGCGGGCAAGGAGTGAGCGGAGCCCTGCCCACAGGTGAGGCAAGATGGCAGCTGCCCACAGGAACGAGCGGGGCGTGAACTGAGATGGCCGCCACGGGGGATGGGAATGGGGGAGTGAGCAGGAGTCAAGATGGCCGCCACGGGGCCTGGCATTAGGGATGGGAGCGGGAACCAAGATGGCCGCCACTGGGTACAGAAATAGGGAGGTGAGCAGAAAGCAAGATGGCTGCCACAAGGCAAGGCTGTGGGAAGTGGGCCAGGCATCAGGATGGCTGCCATTAGGCATGGAAACAGGTGGGAGTAGAAGTCAATATGTCCGCCTTTGGGCATGGCAGGGGGCTGGAAGTAATAACCAAGATGGTCATCTTGACTCCTGGCCCATGCCTAATGATGGCCACCATAAGGCATGGCAGTGGAGCTAAGATGGCCGTCATCACCCACAGCAATGGGGAACAGCACTGGGGTGGGGACAAAACGGTGGTAATGGGGCCCAAGATGACCACCAGCCACAACGCCGGGCTGGATGGGGGATGGCAGGGAACAAGGTGGCCGACACTAACCCCACCCCCCTCGTTAGCTCAGAGCCTTGTTAGTGAACCCGGTTCCGGACCCCATGGCACACGGCGACACGGAGACGGACGCACGGACAGACACACCAAGATGGCTGCCACCCATTGGGCCTGGTGGCCATGTTCTGGCTATTTCCACGGTGACCTCAGTGACCCTGTTGTCAAGGCGACCCTTTTGACCCCCCCCCATGGCAACCAGGTTTAACCTGTTGCCAGGGTGGCCATTTTGAACCCCCCCTTTGGAAGCCCTACACACCCCATTACCAAGATGGCCATTTTGAATTTTCCCTGCAGCCACCATCTTGGGCCCGTTGCCAGGGTGGCCATATTGAACCCCTCTGATGGCAACCATGTTCATCCCATCGCCATGGCAACTGTGGTGACCCTGTTGCTAAGGTAGCCATTTTGACCACCCCCTATAGGAACCAAGCTCCACCCCTTTCTTGGGCAACCCCATTGACCCTCCTCATGGTAGTCATATTGATACCATCACCATGGTGACCATGTTGACACCCCCCCTGCTGCCCAGGCAGCCATACTGAACCATCCCCATATCAGCCATGTTCACTTTGTTGCCAAGACGGCCATATTGGCCCCCTGCCCATAGCAACCATGCTCAACACCTTTGCCTGGGCAGCCATTTTGAGCCCTTGGCAAAGGCGGCCTATTGAAAGCATTGCCAAGACAACCAGTGGAACCCCTTGCAAAAGGCAGCCACACTGAAACCATCATCAAGGCAACCAGTGGAAACTCTTGGCCAAGGCGGCCATATTGAAACCATCACCAGGACAACCAGTGAACCCACCCCGACTCGGCAGCCATGTTGGATACAGGGGAACCTCAGGTCCCAGGGGGCTCAGAGTGGTCAAAAAGGGGTGAGGAAAGGCATGGGGCGGGTAGCTCTGTAGCTGCCCCTCCCCTGGCCCCGGCACCATTGTGGGGTGAAAAATAGTCAATAAAATGGGGGGGAGTTCTGAAGAAAATTCATGTTTCTTGAGACTTCTTCAGGAATGAGAGGGGCCAAGGGATTGTGGGTAGAGGAGGGGTTAGCCCCCCGATTGAGGGCTACACACACACACACATTTGGCAGGAAGTCAACTCAAATGCCTTTATTCCCCCCACAGGCCGGTTGCCCATTGTCTCATTACTGCTAATGAACCTTGGAAATCACCCTAATTAGACTCCCTCCCTGCCAGGGATGTGTGTACAGGGTTTGAAGGGGAAGGCCCTGGGGGAAGGAGATTAGTGGGTTGGGCTAGGGGTGGGGTCATTTGTTGGAGTTGGGTTGATGCCATTGGTTGGCTGGGTTAGGTTTGGTGTCCTTGCTTAGGATTGGGTTGCCATTATTGGTAGGTGGAGCTATGGATGGGATCATTTGTTGGGATCATCTCAGGGTCATTGATGGGTCAGGTGGACCCATCCCATCACCCCCTCTCTCCTCCTCCTGGCCCCTCCCCGCTTTGTGGCCCCAGTCCATGTGGTTATGGGGCTGGAGGACCTGAAGAGGGAAAGCCCCCTGGGGGGGCAGTTATATCTCAGGGGGCCAGGGGGCATAGTCCTGGCACTGGGGCCCACCCAGGCCAGGCCCACACTGGAGGCGGTACAGGAAGTGGAGCTGCCCATAGGCCAAATAGCAGGTGCGGGACTGGGGGGCGCCAGCCACAGGCACCTCCCCACAGGCCCCCAGTAGGTCATCATCATGCCCATTGTCCTCGTCCCACACCTCCAACCTCAGCCCGTCTTCACCGTCTACCCGCCCCACCCCAAAATCCAGTCCCACCCCCCATGCCGGGCTGTCACTGTTCCACACTGTGTCTGCCCGCAGCTCCTGCCCCCCATAAAACACCTTGACATAGGCATCTGACTGGGTGCCGAGGTCCCCGTAGAGCCTACTGGCATTGACCACCGTCACCATGAGCCGGCCCAGGCCTCGCTCCCGGGAGCAGCAGGATGTGTCCCACCCCACCTCCTCTGAGCACAGGCAGGTGCATGGGTCCCACGGGCTTCGTTGGGTGCCCAGGGGGCAGGGACGGGTGCAGTTCCTCCACAGCGCCCCCTCAAGGACATATTGGCTCACAGCCCTCTGGAGAGAGGCCCGCCGTGGGTTACCCTTCCTTGCCAAGGCATGGATGGGGATCAGAGTGTAAGAGATGAGCCCAGGGTTGGCTTTGAGGCCTTCCACCCAACGAGCGTAGGCCCCAGAACCTCTTCCTCCTTGGAGGAGGAAGTCGACGTGGTGATGGCCGCCGGCTGCCTCCACGTGGCTCTCGGCGTAGACCTGATGGAAGCTCTTGGCCAATGCCGCCTTGGTCTTCTCACAGAGGGCATAGATGCTGTCCACCTTGGCCTGCCCACCACCCAACCCAGCTTCCACCTCCACGTCGAGGCAGTCCCGGACCTGGTCCACTGTGAGCCCATCCAGTGCCACCCGGCACACGGGCACTGCCTTGATTTCCTGGTGGTGGCCACCCACGTGGACGAGGGCTAAGTAGTGAGTGCCATAGATGCCCAGGAAGCGCAGGTAGTCCTCCCTGGAGCTGAGGCCATAGTTGTCTGGGAGGTCGGAGAGGGCCTGGGAGAAGTCCGGGGATAGTGGGGGATTCTGGCCCAGGCGGAATCTGAGTTGGGGAGGGGGGTGAGAGGAGTGGAGAAGAAGCCACCATCTTGTGAGGGCCAGTGGGGCCTGGGTGAGAACAGTTGGGGGCGGTCTGAAGTGGAAAGAGCGTGACCTATGACCCCAAGTCCAACCAACCTCAACCCAAAGAGCCAACCAACCTCAAACCCAGCCTAAATCAACCCCTTGTGACCTCATCCCCCAATGACCCATGATCTCACCTGAACCTACCAGCGATCCCAACCCAACCCCAATCCATGCCTTTGACCCCAACTGACCAACTGAACTGCAGCCAACCTGTGACCCCCAACATGAACCCACTTAGGACCCTCCAACCCAACTGACCCTTAACCCCAAAGCTGCCCTAAACCTGCCAACAATCCCAAATCAACACAACTTCAAGCCACCCATGATGTTAATCCAACCTCAACCAACCCATAATGTCAACCCAACCCATGATGGCAATCCAACCTAAACCAACCCATGACATCAACCCAACCCATGACATAAACCCAACCTAAACCTACCAGTGGTCTCAACCCAACCCCAACCAACCCATGATGGCAACCCAAGCCATGATCCACCAACAATCCCAACCCAACCCAACTTCAGCCTACCAGAGATCCCAGCACAACTCACCCCCCTCCCACCCACCACCCACCCGCCACAACCTCCTTCCTGCCCCCAGGCTCTTACTGGTAGTACTGGCACGACACCTCCCGGCCAATGAAGGCGTACTTGTCCTGCCGGGCCTTGTCTGAGCTGATCTCGGCCATCCTGGAACGGCTCCCAGCCAGCACCACCTGGGTGTCGGGTGCGGCCTGGACATCCACCTCCAGCCCCACTGTCCAGTCGTTTTGCACCACAGTGCTAGCCCACCGGGCCACCTCCAGAGGGGACAGCTTCACGGCACTCTCGTTGGTCTCCAAGCAGGGGTCCTGGGCTTGCCAGTCCACCACAGCTAGGGGCAACTGCTGGAGCTGTCCCTCCAGTGCCGGGTTGTGGCAAAGAGTGCAAGAGCCGTTGGGGTAGGTCCACCAGTTGATGTCCACCAAGGAGGCCCCAGTGGGCTTGAGGGTGGTGATGTCAAAGCCTTGCCCAACCAGGCTGTAGCCAGGGACGGGGGCTGTGTGTTTCAGGCACTCCCCAGCCACAGCCACGTGGCACTGGGGGGCCACCCCAGGGAGGAGGGCGAGGAGAAGGAGAGAGACAAAGGCTGGTAGATAGGGCATGGTGGGAATCGGGGGTGAAGGCAACCTAGAGGGAGAGAAGGGGAGAGGAGCGCCCCACTGTTGGCCACCATCTTGGGACAGAAAGTGGGAGGAGGGAAACAGGGAGCCTGATCTGATTGGTGGGGAGGGTTAGATGCCTATCCCCTGCCCCCCAGGTACTCCCCTCCCAGAACTGCCAGGAGAACCCAAGTGTCTGGGCTCCCAGGCCCCCCTGGTCCTGCCCCCCATCCCAGGGGGAGAACCCAGGCATCTGGGCTTCCATTCTTCCAAGCATGGAGCTCTCTCTTTCCCCCACCCCCCAACCACAGTGCAGGATTGGGGGTGGGAGGCAAATGGGAGGCCTGGGGGGGAGGGTTACCTGCTCTCTCAGGGGTCCTGGGCCCAGCAGTCCCCGGCTCCATCCGCAGCTCCAGCCTCTCGGTCCCGTTAAATCTGAGCCTAAAGCCCTTGGACTTTAATCCCGCCCTGCCCACCCCCGCAGCGTGCCCCAGCTTGGGAGAAGGGCCAGGTCAGGTCACCCAGACACTTGGGTTCACTCCCAGCTGTGTTGGGAAACTGCAAGAGGAATGGGTTGCAGCCAATCCCGCCCCCCCCAGCCCCCACTCCTTGCACAGAGAACCCAGGTGTCCAGGCTCCCATCCTCCTTTGCTGCCACTTCCCCAGCCTCACTCGCATGTGGCACCTGGAGAGAGAACCCAGATGTCTGGCCTCCCCACCCAACACCATCCCATGCCCCCTGGACAGACAGAGGGAGGGAGGGAGGGCGGATGATCAAGGGGAACCAAAACCGCAGGGAAAAATGGCTCTGATTTCCCATCATCCACATGGGATCGGTCCCCACCAACGGGGCATTGTGGTTCCTTCCATTCTCCACCCCTCTCCCATAAGCAGGAAAATGGTCCCTTCCATTCTACCCAATGCATAAAGGGCATGATGGACTCTCCACTCTACCTCTCCCCGCATGGGAGACATAATGGTCCCTTCCGATCTACTTAATGGCCCCGCAAGAGGGGCACTTTTGTGGTGGGGGCAACTCAGTATGGGAGAGAGGGAGTGTGTAGGGATGATGGATGGATGGATGGAGCTTGTTGAGATGGATGGATGTTATCGAGATGGATGGATGCATGGGTGGATGGATGGATGGAGGAGTTGCACAGACAGACAGACACCGGGAAATGGAACCCCACCATCACCCGGTGAACACCCATCCATCCCTGCCTCACCAACCCCTGCTTCTGCCCCCTTCCCCCCCATGAACAAACCACTCTCCAAACAACCAAACAAGTTTCCAACCAACCCCAAAGGACTTTATTGGCCGGGTGCTCCAGGTAGAGGATCCATGAGGGCCCCTCACCCCCAGGAGACCCACATCAGTCCAGCACCACGTATCCCACCCCAGAGCCAGCCACATCATGACCCCCATGGGCCTCTGCGCCCATGTGCTAGCCACTTCCGGGGGGCCATGTTGTTAGGGGAACCAATTGGAGGCAAGTCACAGATATGCGGGTGGGAATTTGATTCCCAATGACCCCAGCATCGAAGACACAGGCAAAGAGGGCATCCAATTGGTCTCTGATGCTCCTTCATCCACCAATCAAAAGGCTGAGTGGACTTCTCAGTGGCCGCTGCCAGATGCTGATCCAGCTGGTGATGGAGTTGCCTATGAAACAGGAAGGAGGAGTGAGTTGATGCCATTGGGTATTCTCAAGGATGGATGGATGAATGGATGGATAGATGGATGAAATGGTTCATTGGATGGATGGATGGATGGATGGATGGATATCTGGCTATGGGCCAGACCTGCCTTAGCCTGATTGCCCATTGAGTCTAAAGGAGGCTGAATTGGATCAAACTGGGACAAACTGGGACCAGAGAACCAGTAGGGAAGTCGAACCCATTCCCACCAAGCCCATCTAATGCCTCCTGCCCGCCACCCCCAGCACCCCCTTCTTGGCCCCCATGCTCTCACCTTCCACCTTGGGGCATCTGTCAGCATCCCTGCTCTCCGGGATGGGCAGGGGCTGCTCCATGAAGTATCCCTCCCGTGTGACATCCTGAATCCAGTCTTCATAGGAGCTCACAGCTGTGTAGACCGCCGGGCGTCGCCTCGAAGTGCAGCCGTCACCAAAGCTGGAGACGCCAGCCAGGAACCATGTGCCCTTCTCCTGGCAAACCAGGGGCCCTCCATCGTCATCCTGGGTGGGGAGGGGGAAGGAGAAACACAATGGATGGGTGGGGGGGCATCTGCCTCCTCCTGGTGGGATCCTTTCTGCGTGGCATGTAGTGGCATGAGCTTCAACCGGGGAGTGGGTGGGTGGGTGGGTGGGTGGATGGATGAATGGATAGACAGATGGATGTCTATGGGGATGGATGGATGGACGGACACCCAGACAGATGAAGTTACAGGCCCTATCCCACCCTTGGCCTCCCTCCCCTCGATGGACCCCCTCCCAGCAGGTCTCTGTGGATGGGACCCAGGAGTTCTCCCCTCCTGCCCGCCCCTCCAGGGGGATGTCTCACCTCGCAGCTGGTGCTCTTCTTCGGCGGCACCGTGCATAGCATGTCAGGCAAGATGGACACATTCTGGTAGCTGCAGTTACAGGCCACAGGGCCTGTGAGCGTCAAGGAGATGCCCTGGATAGGACTGCGCTTCAAGAGCCGTGCTGCCGGAGCCAGAGAGACAGGCCATTGGTGACCCTAGAGTGAGTGTCCCCCAACCCCAGATCCCCAGTGCTGGAGGGGGCGGGTGAGAAGTGCATGGATGGCTGGATGTCTATGGGGATGGAGGGACGGATGGATGGAGGGATAGAAGGACAGATGGATGGAGTGTGAAGCATGCTGCCCCCTGGTGCCCACCACCCCCCTGTCTCACCTCGGGCTCGTCCGCGGGCCCAGCAAGGGGCACCTAGCTGGAAGCGGTGGGTGCCATAGGGCAGGCACACAGCCCGCACACGCTCCCCGAAGGCCACTGCCCGGTCCAGGGCCACCAGCGCCAGGTCACCGCCCTCCTCCACGCGGATGTATGTGGCATGGAGGCCCAGCCTGGCCACGCCCCTCTCTTCGGACCAGCGCTGCCCCGCCCCCTCCTGGACCGCCCCCAGCAGCACCTTCCAGGCCTCGGGGGTCTGTCGCCTGCCAGGAGCAGGATG